ACAAATGTTTGGCCTTTTCCCCCCCGCCCCCCCCCCAATCTCATAGAAGTTTGTAGTAGTTTGGTTTTTTTGTTTGTTTTTTTTGTATACTTGCTTCCAGTGTATAAATAGCTATGCATCGTAACAGGATACTTAAGGGTCATTATTTACAGACTATTTGAAACTCAGAGCATAAATCTGGTTGAATGTTATAATACTGGACAGGCTTCTTACCTTCCTTATTAATAAAGGGGTTGATTCTATGTCTTGGCACCTATTAGTATCAGGGAGGAGGAATAATATTTTGTCTTTTGGCACCTGGACTTGCTGGATCAGCAAAACAGGATAGCTGTCAAAGGTACGTAACTATGGTACTTAGAGAACATTTCAGATGCTAGTAAGAAGACAGGATGGCAAGAGAAATTGGGAAACTGCATTTCTATATGCCTTGCAGAGTACTTTGTACTGAACTGGCAACTGCTGAGAATCAGAACTAACTTCATGAGAACTAGGCAGGTTGGACTAGGTTCAAAATCATCTTTTGCTATTGGTCCTATTAAAAGGACCTATTTATACAGTAACTTTACTGAGAAAAGATTCAATCCCCAACTCTTGTGACAATGCTTCTCAATTGGGGCCTTGATTTGAATTTTACTCTACTCTGGACCTTTCTTCTTTGCATGGGGAGGAACTACATTTAAAATGACTGGGATGTTTGCTAATAATCAAACATCATTGTCATTGACTATAACTCTAACCCTGCTCTAACTTCTCTGCATAAAGCTTATAAATTATTCATGTATGCATTTTACAGTTTGTCCCCAGGTTTGAAACTGTCATAGCTGGGCTTAACACTAACTGTAGAAGCTCTGGCAAAAGCACCTGTTACCAGGATTGTACAGATTGATCCATGAAACCTTCCCAGTGGGCCTGGCTGCCTTAGTCAAGACCTTGTAAGGTCCTAATAGCAGCTTTAGGAAGTGCACATGTGAAAGCATGATGTACTTTAAGTGCTAAAAATATGGTAACATGAGCTAGATAGTGGTGTCCTATAGCCAGCTTGCTCCATGCAGACCCTACAGCAAGGGACTAAAAAGTACAACAAAGGCGTGAAGCAGGTGTATCAAACAAGGCTTCTGGCCAGATACAGTCTATGATTATCTAGCCTGCAGAAGCCTGGAGCTCAAATGAATTTGACAGCCCTGACCAAAAGGAAAAGCTCATTAGAAGAAGTGAATATGAAAAAAGGAACAGAGGATCTAGGAAGCACTTTCTTCTTTCTGACAGTTCATTAGGGGAGACCAGGCCAGATGCTGATAACAGTAAGGCCAAATAAGTATCCATTTGCTCCATGGAGGTCACCAGGAGGACTCAGGACTTGCATGGAAGTATGTAAGACTTGGAATTGTTATGAAAGAAAGATGGGTTCTAGACATTTGAGGTGAGAATATGTTACTTTTGTAACAAACCATAACGTTTTGTCCTGCAGGTGTTTAACAGTCTTAATGAAGTCCTTAAGGGGTCAGCTTGAGCTTTAGTTTTGCATGGCTCTCTTCACCCATTCCACTGTACAGGCCAAGTTGGTTACTCACTTTTAGTACATTAATACCATTGCAGTAGAGCCTTACTTGTAACAGCAAGGCCTATAACATATGCAGGTTGCCACAGCAATCCAGTTGAGAATTGTGGGGCCAGATTAATGGGCATTTTCAACATGCTCACCTGGGAAGTAGTAAGACCATATTTACAGCAGTCTCAGAAATTCCAGTTAGAAATTTGTCATCCTTCAGGGTTCCTAGAACAGGGGTCATTCTATCTGTTACAGAAGGATTGGACTTGCACTCCTTTATAAAATGCTTCAGATGTAGACAAAAAGCACTAGAGCAGTGTGGCATGGTCACCAATGCAACAGTGTTCATGCCTTGTTTTTAGTACCCTGGCCTTGGGCGGGGGGTAGGGAATTAAATTCAGGTGAAGACTCTTTTAATTTCTTGTCTGTCTTTTCAGTACTGAGCCCTTGTGAAGGGGAATATTCTACAACTCCAATTTGGGTTTTTTCCCCCTACCAGTGAACAAAGTTTAGCTCCTGAATGGCTTTTTTTAGCTTTCTGGAATGAGTGAACTAGTATACTCACTGGTCAAACCCTGAAAGCAGTCCTCCAACTTAACTGCATTCATAGGAGCAAGGCCATGTCATGACAAGGCCCGCACAGCACAGCAGTCTACTCTGTACAGTCTGTACTAGGCCCTTTCATTCTCCCAGCCATTTCACCAGTTACCTGTGGGGGCACATTTCTCACAAGAAAACCACTCTCTCTTCAATCTCCCGGTTCTAATCCTCAAAGGGAAGTTATAAAACACCTTTAACAGATAAGCCTATGAACGTCACATCAACCTACTGGATACAAAAAGTCATGGACTAAACATACACACTGGATGTGAGACACATTATAACCTGCCTAACATCAGACTTCCCAGGTACCTCTCCACTATTTACCAGCTACATTCATTTCCCCCCCCCCCCCCCCCTCCCCCCCCCCCCCCTGTCTCTCCCCCACTGACTCCTCAATTTACATTTTCACTGGCTGCCTGTCTTACACACAGCCCAGCCTCTGGCTTTTTCATTTCATCTAGGAAGAGAGCACACCAACGGCAGATGCTTTCTCAGCCTGATGAAGGGTATTTATACTGGAAAGCTTGCAAAAAAAGAATTTTTTTTTTTTTTAAACTATTGGAGTTGGTCTAATAAGAGAGATCACATTTTACCTAAAGAACCTTGCTGGGGTGTAAACAGACACTTCTCCCAGGAAGTCTATTGTCCTGCTAGAAGTACCTGTGAAGCAGGAAAGATAAAGCATGCTAAAATTTATTTTCCCAGGATAATGCTGTGTAATTGCAACTCATGCAAGTTTACTGCCAGTTGCTCTAAGGACCATCTTATCAGGCTGTTTGTTCTTCTTGGCCATCTACTAGCAGAGGCTTAGCAAGGCTTGGAAAGACTAAGTATGCAAATAGTTGTGCCCCTAGCATTCTGATCCAAGTTAAAACCCAGGACAATCAGGACCACCTCAGATGACTACCTCTGTTCAGAGTATGTCCATAGTGCACTAGAAGGTATAAAGTTAGAAAGCCATGCTGCATTGTAGGAACTGGCATTTTGACTATCAGAGGCAGGGTAGATTTGCACCTTTATAGACTCTAAATCAGAGATGAATAGCATAAGTTTCCATAAGTAACTTGCTTGCTTCAGCAGATGCTGTGAAGGGACTGCAGGAAGTGAGGCTGCTAAAAACAGAAAGCAGGTTTAGAATGCAAAGGGGCAGGGAAGGGAAGCCAGGGAGGAGATACTGCTGGGAGAGGCAGGGTGCGCAGGAGAGAAAAACAAAGTGGTTAACCCATTGAGGGACAGAGCTTAAAAGCTAACCCAGTCTTGTTTTAGACTACACTTAACACCAACCAATGTATGGACAATTTCTTGTTCATACTCATTTTTAAAGTTTTGTCATCTAAAAACAGCCACTCTGAGGTCAGCAATAGAATGTCCAGGGAGGTTAAAGTATTCTGCCACAGGCTTGTCCATCTTTCACAGATAACAGATCTGTGTCCATTATACACAGAGATTGTCCCATCTGTTCAATGTGGACAACAGGGGGAACTATAAGCAGGTGATGGCATACATGATATTGGTAGAGGTGCAGGGAAATGAACCTTGGATGTTATAATCCACGTTGTTTGGTCCAGAGATGATGAGGTCTTTGTTGATGCGGCAGCACAACACGCATTTGGGTCTGGAGCAAGGTCAAGGGCTTTGATGACACTAGCAGTTAGGTCACCTGTTGCTGGAGATGTCATTTGAGGTTTGGCAGCTGCCTCTAAGCCAGGACAGATTTGTCCCCCAAGGCTGTTTTGAGATGGTCATCATTTTCCAGGAAGGGCTGGAGGTTATTAATGATGTGTCTGAGCTAGGGGCTGTAGGTGACAACCAAACCAATATGATGTCCTTGTCTTTGGGTTGCTATTGTAGTAAGACAGAAGAGCCTGCCTGTCTCATCAGTGCCCCCTTTTTCCTTACCCCTTCCTTATCCTTTGCATTCTAATCACTGCTTTCTACTTAAGAAAATCTGTTTCCTACAGTCCCTTCACAGCAGGCACAATGTTACACAACGCTTTACTGTGCAGTAGACAAATTTGCTGTGCAGTAAAGTGTCACCATCTACATGTGCATGGCAATTAGGGTGCAGTAGACTAATTTACTGCACTGCTGGATAGTCCCATCAGATACAACACAATAAATTACTGCATTTAAACATGTGGAGAGAGTGACATCGGGATTAGTTTACTCTGGCTCAAACTGAGCTGGAGTATATTCAGTCACATTAACTGCACATGTAGATGTGCCCAGCATCTGATGAAGAAAGCCCTCTGCTTACTAAAGATTATGCTATACATCTCTGATTTAGTCTACAAAAGGTGCAAATCTTACCCTGCCTTCTGCCTGACTTCAGACTAACACGTGTAACTACCTCTCACTAACAACTAGGAGCCAGGGCTTTTCAGGCACATAATCATGTTGTGAAAATGCTGCAAATGCTTAGCGCAGTGATTCTCAACTAGGGTGATGTCAGATTTTTTGAAGGGATGAGGAGATAAATGCAGGCTCAAGCTTATCCCTGCCTGGCTAATTCCCCAACCCTTACAGCCCGGCCCCTTTGCAAGGAGGTATGCACTGTAATATATGCATTTGTTTTTGAAACTGGGTACCATTCAATTCTCAAAAGCTAAAGGGGTGCCTCAAGCCCCAAAAGGTTGAGAACCACTAGGTTAGTGCTATCAGCAGCAAGTCAGGGACCAGTGGAGCTGTTTACGCTTCTCTGTCCTTGTTCTGTTAAACTACTGACATCCCTACCCTTTGTTAGCTATGTGTTTACATGGCAGCACTTGGTACATCAAAAATAGGAACCTCTTAGCTTTTCACTCCCCCAGAAAATAGCAATATATTCTGAAGAGCCAACATTTGACTGCAATATCAAGCTTTTTAAAGTCGCATGTAAAGTATGTGGCAGAACCCCACAGGTGCAATTTGGCATACATCCTAAGATAAGTAAAAGTGAGGAGAATGTATTGTAACAAGTGCCTCAATATAAACATTTCTCAAATGTTGACTGGGAGTCAATTGTACTTAAAACGTTAGTCTCCGTCACCATCTGTCTTTTTAATAATATGCAGACAGGCATATACCAGCACTTAAGGAAGGTAAGTGCCCCCCTATAAATTAAAGAACTAGTTTTGATTTTGAAGCAGCTAAGACCCAAACATTTCAAGTCTTATCTCTTTTACACACACACACACACACAAAATCAAAGCTGTCCCAGCAAGAGTTAAACGTCTGCTACAGAAGCTGAAGGACACCGACATGTAAAGCATTGATTTCAGGAACAAGCCTCTCTCCTGTGCTTATCTGGGCACCAATGTCAGAGAGACCCAATAGAATCTTTAAGTGTAAGTTTCATACTGAAGAGAAAACTGTTAGATGCCAAGCCTTAAGCAGGAAAGATCAAGGGGTTAGGACTTTCACTGACTAAGAAGTTTGGTCCACTATGTTGTAAAACTCGCATCTACAACTTGTCTCAATGAATGGCTTATAAAAAGTAGGCAGGGTAGATTCAGACTGAAATAAGCTCCCCCTCCAGAGGTGGTGCAATCACCTACCCTGGAAATCTTCAAGAGGAGACTAGACAATCACCTTGCTGGGGTCACCTGACCCCCAGTTATCTTTCCTGCTTGGTGCAGAGGGCTGAACCCGATGATCTTCCGAGGTCCCTTCTAGCCTTACAATCTATGAATTCACGTTTTATAGACCAAATGAATCAGAGCGCACAAGCTTCTGTAAGCGGCAGCTTGCTTTACCAAACCCATAAGAAAAACACCCACCCAACTGACCTGAAAATCAGAACCCCCATTAACAAGTTCAGATTCAGCTACATGTTTACTTATTTTCCCTAAGCTGCTCTCTCAACATGAAGTCAGAGCTCGTCACTATTCTCCCTGCAGTAACAGTTCTGCAGGTTTTCTTGACATATCACGTACCATTTCTTCTAAGCCTTTATTTTTGATTCACCTGCTTGAAATTGGAACAGCAGGTTCCTGGATAAATGGACCCAAAGGCCATTTTGTTTCACTGCCACTCTGCCTATCCTCAGACAGAACATGGTATTTATTCCTGAATGAAGTCTCTGTATGTCAGCCTCCACACTGTACTGCACAAAGATAAAGGGAGTCAATTATTACCTGTATCAAGAAAAAAAAAATGTACATTGTGTACTATTGTATAGACAAGGGTAATTGTTGCCAGGGGCACCTGCCACTAAGTAACTTCAGGCAGGTAAGATAGGTAGGAATGCAAAACTGCTAAAGATGCACCACCATAACACGCCTTCAAACAGCCTGATACCCCGAGGCACTTAGAGAAGTGCTTTATTAATGAGCAAATGCATTAGACCTGCACTTAAATATTAGCCTGGAACTGCCCTTCGCAGAGAGCTAGGCAAAGTGCAGATCTGCCAAACCAAATCACTTTTCCTATTTTCTTTACAAAATTAGTCTCTTTACTATCTAATCAAATCCATATTTAAGAACCTGACCCAACAGAAGAAACTGGTAACCTTGGCATCTGGTATGAAAGAAACAATAATCAACTGCTACAAAAACTCAGTGTTATTTTTTTAAAATATTTTATGTTAAAAATACAGCAAAAATATTTCTTGTTCAAAGAGGAAAAAATATAGTGCATGACAACACTGGTCTAGGTATGCTTGGAAGGTGTCTCTGGCTCCATAACTGGTCACAGGAGTGATGATTCAAAATTTGGCAACTAATGGTTCCCATTCAGCTCCTCAGTCATTTATCAAAGCCAGGATCATACTGTAGCAAGACAGAAAAGGTAAGATCAAGGTGTTACCACATATTCAAATCTAAGAGATTCTCACAATTCAGATAGGTAGCTAAAGCTCATTGACTTAAATGAAAGAGAGATCACAGTTGCATTCGCCTTTGTTCCAAAGGCAAGATCTACAGAGACAGAGCACTCCATCCTAAAACTAGCAGGAGGCTATGTGGTAAAATGTGTATTATGGAGACACAGCCATTAAAACTAATATGGTTTTCAGAACAGCTCCTGTTCTGGACATACATTAACAACTACTTTTTATTGTGCGATAAATCCACTTAACCCTCTATAGTATTTTCTTTCTTATAATGGATTACAGACAGGAACTTAGCCTGAGTTTCTAAGCCCTATGAATGTTCAAACTCCACCCCCACAACCCAAAACAAACCCCCTGAAAGGTCATCACAAGTCATAGGCAAGACACCAGAGACCTTATTTTGTCTTTGGGTAGTTACCTCCCTTTAAATTCAAGGAAAAGTAAATGTCTGCGTTGATCACTTTTACTGGACACAGACAGCTGCAGTTAATGGGCATTTGTATTTGGAAGAACGCGACTTATTTTTTTGCGTTGGAAATATAAAAACTATTCTTCTTGTCTTGACTTGGAATGAGCCACCACATCCTGGTTTAGAAAAAGCAGCCAGGCACTTGTTTGAATTCACTCACATACGAAATTGTAAGGCAGGGGCGGCCAACCTGCAGAACAAGTGCCACAGGCAGCCTTTGTGTGTGGCACCCAGAGGATAAAGGAGGAGACAGCACAGCACGGCAACCAATAAATCAGAAAGCAGAGGATGAGACTGGGCAGGGTGCAGAAAGCAGAGCAGCAGACAGGGCAAAGAAAATAGATCAGAGTGACACTTGGGAAGGGCACAGGGTTAATCTGTGGTATGCCTGCCAAAAACAGTGTCCCCACTGTTGTAAGGAAACAAATGTAAGACTGACAGAAAGAAATAATTTCACCAAATGTATGATTCACTTGGAATCAGCTGCCACAAAACATTACCTGGGGAAAGAGCTTATAAAGGATGAACTGCTGTGAATATTAACAGTGATGCAAGAAGGACAGAAGACAGAAATTGTTGGTATGACATTTCTTTGTCCCTAGGCAGCAAAATTCAAGTCTAACCTGTAAAGGTACATGAAGAAACAAAGCAGGTGAAAGCCTAACTTAATCATGGCTTCCTTCATATGTGATTTCAGTTGCCCTCGATTATGGATCTCTGTAGGGTCAAACACTCCCATGTTCCCACTTGGCACCATGATGTACCTGAAAGGTTAAAAAAAAACACAAACCAACAAAAATGACAACCATCAAAATGCTGACCTTGTTATTCGATCTAATCTCAAAGTAGCCAAAAAATGGAACCAACCAAACTGCTCCCCATTTTAAGAGTTGTTTTGTACTTGGGTACACCCCAGCAATCTCCCTTCTTGTAACAGTCTCAGTATACTGCCCGTGACTTAGCCGCTGCATCCCCAAAATCCATTAGATAATATTTGGACATGGGAAAACTGGTGACATTTAAAATGGTGATAACAAACAATTCTGCACCAGTTCTATTGCTGCCTGTAGTTACCTAACTTTATGGAGGAAACCTGCAGAAGAAAGAAATGAGGTGGGAAAGGACAGCTAAAACCAGTGGAAAATTAGTTTCAATTAGAAACTACGTAAACTATTCAATGTACAGAATCTCTTACTTAAACTGAGAAAGCTGATTAATGGAGGACCTATGTTCTGTTGTTTAGAACAGGGGTTCCCAAACTGTGGTACGTGTACCCCTGGGGGTATGCAAGACATCTCTGATGCAAAATTTGGATCCACCTGTCTGATGTTAACAGTTTAGGGTTCATACTAAAAGATGACCTTGTGAGGTCCCTTCCACCCCTACGACCCTCTAATGTGTCTAAAGGTCCCCCCTAAACTTTTAGTGGTGGGGACCTTTCCACAACTCTCCCTTACATAATTTGCGGCTGCACTGTCTTTTACTCATCTGGATAGAATACTTGTACATACAACCGAAGCTCAGACCATATCTGTGTCCTGTCCCTAGTTAGGTCACACACACACAGTAACTGGACTGCATCACATTTTCTTAAGCTATAATATGGGTTAGTTACCAACATGACAGATATGTCGTAAGGCAAAGTTAATGAGCATTTCTAAAACACTTCTAGATCCTCAGAAGGAAAGCAGTATTAGAAGTACAGATTTATAATCATGAATGTAGTGCTAGGAGATGTGAACTGCTGTATTGTTGCATTCATTTTGTAATATGCATTGTAAGTCTAAAAAGGTAGTGGGGAGAGAGGGAAAGCCCGTCTGTTTGGGTGGTCAGAATGTCTATTGCTCCAGGGTGACTACCAGGTTACAAAACAAACAGTCAATTCAAAATGGCTTCTGAGAATTGTTTCTTGCAAGGGTGAGAATGGGAGATGCATTGTTCTCTAGCGCTCCCCTCTGGCCAACATAAGCAATGACTGTCTGCAGCTCTTCTCTGCCAGAGGCTTTTGTACTAGTTATGCTCAAGGGAGTAGAAAGGGAGATGTATAGAAAAAAATTCTAGGACCGTGATGAACTCCTAGAAAGTCTTGTAAGCAAAGTGAAGCCTTTCTGTAAAGAATCCAACCCAACAATCCCTAGATCTTCAATTTACAGTTCAAAGTTACAAAGATAAATTAGATACATTTCAATTCTTTGCTTCATATACAAACTTCATGGAACCCTATCATATGACACATTCCTTGTTTTCATCTAAACCAGGGGTGTCAAACACATCTAGCCCCAAGGGTCTCTGAGCTGGTCTGCAGGCTGGATCTGGACATGCCAGAGCCAGTGGGCAGGGCTCGACTGGTGGGTGCCATGTGCAGCATGCACCCCGTGCCGTCCCCACTCCGGGACTCATGCTGCAGGGATTGCATGGGCTGGACCCAGTGCCTTGAGCACTGTCCATGGCCCGGGGGGCTGGCATGGGGTGTGCACTACATGTGTGCTGTCTCCAGGGCAGTCAGGATTGGGCCCCAGGCTGTCCAAGCAAACTACAGCCAATGCATAGGGCTGTCTGGCAGCACACTGCATGGAGCATGCATCCTGTGCCAATCCCCTTTGCCATGGCACCAGGTAATGCCCATGCACTGCAGGCAACAAAAGTCCCAGAGCAGGGTCAGCACATGGTGGAAGTGCTGGACCCAGTGCAGCTCACACCACAAGGGACTGCCATGGGTGCGCACTGCACACAATACCCTGCTGGATCAGGTGGCCTGATCCAGACCAGTCCCAGAGCCAGTATGCAAGGTTGGTCCAATGCAGATACCACATGCAGCTCACACCCCGGACCTACCCCCCGGTGCTGCAAGCAACACCTGCACTGCAGGGTCCAGCAAGCGTGCCAGACCAGCTCTGCATGCCACATGCAGGTTGGTCTGACACCCATCCAGCCCATAAACCATATATTTGACACACTCAATCTAATGCAAATTATATTATCTTAAGCTACTCAACCTGCAAGATGCTCAAAGGCTTGGCCGGTAGTTCATTAGAAGCAAAGGTCAGCAACGAGTTGGAACGTATTCAGTCTAAAAATAAATGGGAATCTCACAAGTATGATTGCTGCAACTTTTCTCTCATGAGTCATGACAACTGGGAACTGCTTGCTTGAGTTAATCAATAGCCATCCTGACCTCTGCAGACAGATAGCCCCCATACCCTGCAGGCACAGGGAAAG